TTTGTTAACTAATCGCCTATAAAAGTAGAGATTGACTTTTAATGTAACGTGACCGACTGGCTAGCTTCCCTAACATGCTAGCCGGAGGCGAAACAACCCTGAACAACGCAAAAAAAAATCGCTGATATTGCAGCAAGAATTCTTAAGAGCACTTTGTCCCGTTCACACGCTTCAGCCGACATTCCAGTGAGACATTACGACGTATGAAAATTTCGACACATTTCACTTCGTATTGTCCACGGACGTTACATCTAAATGCGTCAAAAAGACAAGGAATAAAGCTTTTGGCGCACGTTCGACTCTGACGGCCCTACGCGTTCGACTCCATTCGTGGGATTGTTAGCGCTGACTGAAAAGATATCTGGCTTAAACGATCACTTGGGTGCATTCCGAACTATCAAGTCAGTACTGCTATCCTCCCGGACAAATCCGGCACCAATTCGCCGACCCGGAGTGACGCAAGGCGGCTTAGTGAGCTTACGGAGTGGGATCTAACCTAATATGGGTAGTGCATGCGGCACCTCTAACAAGTGTGTTTTAGATGCTTTGATGAAATACTCTGCACCAACAATCTTCTAGTACTACAGAGTTATCTAACTGGTAGCTGTGAATATCGTTTCGTCCTATTTATTCTTATATATCAACTCTAAGCAACACAAAGTCAGATGTGCAAATTCTTCTAAGGAAACCCATTTGGAAACAACGGAACGACACGAAAGTGTTCAAAACATGAGTGTACTGAGATGCGAACGCTTATAATCGCCATTATTACATCACGAATATTTCTGAGGTAATATAATTCTAAGAATGTTGAGCGTTAAGCAAAACATTCGACCCCGGGAGGGAGTTCAACCCGTGCTTGACCCATACCGCGGGCACGTGCTACCACTACACCACTGAGACCACCGCTTGCTATCACTTTTTCTTGGTTCAAACCATTGCAGTTGACAGAAACCAACCTTTACTAGGTTTAGGCTTGTAAGTATATATCGACGTAAAATTCAGTCAAGCTGACAGCTACTTGAATACCCTAGAGCTCCATAGATAAAAACGGTTTATTTTCTCAAAGAAAGACGGACAAGCACACGCGTCCCAGTGCAAAACTTACGGCGTTTCATGATTACTAAAGAAAAAAAGGACCTAACCCAAGTGAAAAAGACCAAAAAAAACTAAAAACATAAGTAAAAAAGTATAACGAAATTCCGGAAACAAAGTGTACGCACGCGTCTATCACCCAGCACAGATCGCTCTAACTGATGGGATTTAGGGTTATCTATCTCTACATGCAGGCTCGCCACCTACTCTGGTTATCTCACAAGCGCTATTCTTATAAGTGGTTGAGATGGGGATCGGGTACGGCCTGGCACTCTGCCGCTGTCACTTCTCCTCATTACTAAGCTGAATGCTGACTGAGCGTTCGTTTTTTGTGATCTCGAGATAGTCGTGCCAGGACGTTCCTAGCTTTTCATCACAGTGAAAAAAAATCGTTCCTCGTTGGATAAGAGAGAAATTTGTAGTTTCTCAACAGGATTTGGTACATGGTTCCGATGATTCGGCCAATCGATCGACGATGGATAGACTAACGCAAAGATTATAAAAAATAGCATTATTTGATATACGATACCCGTAATTCCTTCAGTACTCCCGTAATTTTCTTCAGTACTTCAATGTCTCAGCATAGCCTCCACTAGGCACAGGGCTCCATTTCAGCTTTCTGACGTGGCCATGATGCCTTGTATCCTTAACCTTGGTTAAGGAAAAAAATCTGGGAAATTTTTTGAAAGTCCCATTTCCTGACATCTTAGTGCCGTTTTCTACTGATAGTTTTTTATATAATAATCCAATTCATTAATTTCAACTCCAAAGTGCCTAATGAACACTGAAATTGCGTGTGTGGATCCGCCACGATCGTAAAAAGGTTTAACTATTCTTCAAAGACGATGGAATTGACGAGAGATGGGAGAGGTGAAAGTGCTGGTACGGCTACAAAATCGACTGTGGGTAGAAGATATAGGCGATTCAAAAAGGCACTTTTAATCTCGGAACATGCCTCGTTCTGGCCGGCCATCTGTTTTGGATAAAATTGACTTGCCAGCTGCTTTGGATGCTAAGCCTTCATGAAGCACTCGTGATTAGGCTAAAGAGCTTGGTGTCTCACAGCAGACCGTTGTTAATGAGTTGCACCAATTGGACTTTGTCCACAAGAAACCCCAGGATTAGCATGAGCTCTATCCAGTAAGGACCTTTCACGTGAAGAGCTCTTCGATTCCGAAGGGTGGGATTGGTTCTTCAAGCAGATCCCGAATCTTGCAGAACAACGGCGAATAGTCGTGGACAGTGGTGGTCCCTGATTTGAAGAATACTTACTCTTTATGTTGTTATTTCGTATAAAAACTTAACTTCCAAAATTTCCCTGGTCTTTTGCTCGACTTGGCAAATTTGCCATTGTATGATAAGATAAAGGGTGAATAGTAGGGTGGTTAGCCATGCAATTTATCTGAGATAAAAGTGCTGGTTCCATTCCCCAACGCTCGCTTGCAATTCAAACGGGAACACCTCAGCTCGGCGCCTTAGCGTGAACATATCCGAGATTGTAAGAATCGAGCCCACCAGCACTCTTCGACATAGCATTTATGAAGAAGCTGAATTCCTCAAGCAGCAGCCGAAACCACATGTAAATGTTCGAAGATCTTTGTGGAAGACGGTCCAGAGAAAGTGAATCGAGTGCAGAAAATGCTGCAAATCTGGACAGTATGTGTGACCACGGGACATATAAGAGAAAAAAACTACTACATAGAACTGTACTCCCGTCACGAATCGAATAATTCGAATGGGAGCCAGTTAACTCTCCCATATTAGTCTCATAAAACACTACTTCTGACAAGGGTACAGCATTCGGTATCCTGTGAGGTTCTGTCAACAGTTCAGCCTTAGCGAATGTGCTGAGTTGAATCCATTCTTAGCACATCACTGTTTATCACTCAGCAACAGCTTTATGGTGAATAAATAAGATGAAATACGATTTGGCTTTTTTTTTCTGATACGCCACGGGTTGAAGGAACGACCCCTTTCGCTGGACAAGAATGTTTCTCAAAAGCTTTGGCAATCATTCGAAAGCTTAAATCCTCTGGCTACTGCGCTGCGTGGCTATTTTTCGAGGAACTCTTTTTTATAACGCCGTAGCAAATAAATTATATCTTACACCTGCTGCGTGCTTTTATTAATTTTCGCTGGAATCACGAAAGACATACCAACGTGTAGAGGAAATATTGTAGTATCAAAACTGCTCGATTTATTTGAAGTTCACTTCGAAACTAAGAAGAAATCTCAATTAATTAACGAAAATTGCACTCCGCTTGTGAGTCGCTCAAACGCGATCGATCGATCGCAGAACGCCGTATCGAATCTACGACCACCAGACATCCTGCCACTCACTAGCCGAAAAAACAAGTGTCTGCACATGTGGAACCCGATCTTACTTTCCATGCTATTCTACAGTGAAACGATTTTTTCAGAAAATGAGCGCAACGTTGAAAAGCAGAAACTTAAGCTGTCGAGTGGTTACTCGTAATTTGAGGAAAGAATTCTGCCTTGAGAGAAGTACGTGTGCGTGAAACACAAATGTTTTCTTTCTGCTGAGGCGCTATAGAAAGACTTCTTCAAAAAGCGACCAAATAACGCAATACCTGAGATCTGAGTTTTAGAATGACTACTAACACTCTTTTGAAAAGTCTGTGTCCAGCGAGAAGGGATAGATTTCTTCATCCCATGCCGTCTAACAGCAAAAAGCCTGTACTACGATAGAAAAAACCTTACAAATAAGAAGAATGAATCCCAGGACCGACTATCTATTAACCTCGGCAAAGTTTGAATAAATGAGTATCTTCTTCTGTTTAGCCGCTCCGAGGTGTTATTGATAATTTTCGCTTGATCACAAGATGTTGTTAACCGTACGTCTTCGATAACTCCTTAACGTAAGGGAGCAGAGCCTCCTGAGAGAAACTGACGTTCAGAAATATCGAAAGACAGACGTGTGTTCGGCCCGCCTGACGAGTCTGTGGAAAAGACGAAACAAGTGTATTGGGCTGGTACAAGAGCACCTTACGCACTAGACCCACGATGACATGTGTATGCTTTACACAGTTTATATGGAAGAAAGAGTACTACCGACAGCGGTGGCCTCGCTGATTTGGCTTTTGTATGCGCCTGTGCCAGCGTTGGAACGTGGGTTCAACTCCCGGCTGGACTCGGGTATTTTGTACATCACCCACTATTCTCACTTGTTCTTCAAAATCCAATTATACAAACTGACATTTCGGCGCATTTTCCTCCTGATCAGAGAGTCCGGAAAGAACAAGTTGACTACAACGTAGTCAGCCAGATACCTCGTCTAATCTCGATAGAAAAACAACACCTCGATCTCAGCTGATTTCAGACTTCGTGGGCTTTTTTTGTTCTTCTTCCAGAGGCATTTGGCCGACTAGTTGCAGTCGACCTGATCCTTCCAGAACTCTCAGGAAGTGAAATCCGTCAAGATCTCGGCCTGTGTCAATAAACTGTTAAAAACAACCGCGTGTGTGCTTATCAATAAATCAATGATCTATTGATCGACGCCAAAGTCAATCGATGGTCAATTGTGGGACTTGCGGAGATCGAACTTTCATTTGACGGAACAACAGCAAGTCAAAATACTATTGGTTAATAATTGCACGCAAATTGTACCACCAACGGTCCGACTCCTATCTGTCCTATCTCTAAAAAAACCTCGTTATATTTTTCAATAATCACGTGGTACTTAATGAAATTGCTGACGTCACACATAGATGATTCATAACTATTTCTGTAATTATCCTTAGTTCATTTCTCTGGAGCACTGGTCCCATCAGAAAACGAGAAATCCTCACTACTCACAGAAAGTTACCTAGGTTTGTGGTCTTTAGGTATCGGACATCAAACACCTATTAAAGCACGAATCGCAGAAAGTGATAGCAAAACAGGGAGCCTCGGTGGCGCAGTAGTCAGCACGTGCTCCCTGAAAGGTGAAGACGCGGGTTCAACTCCCGCCCGGTGCTTGAAATGTTTTGCATATCACTCGACATTCTTCAATATGTAGTTATTTTTAAATATCGTGTCACTGCTACTAAACCAGTAAATTGAGGAGTCAATGTGGACTACATCTAAGAAATCTGATAATACTTTAGCATCTTCAATTCACAGGGAACGATAACAAGTTAGGTGGCAGCGCAGTGGCTAACACGCGCACTCACAAAGGAAAAGACGCGAGTTCATCCCTAATGGAGCTGAAAATCTGTAGATCACTCAACGATCTTGGATGTGTAATTCGGTACATCGCGTCACTGTTATCAAAGCGGTATAATAAAGATTCCACGGCGATTATAACAAAAAAGGGAAACTGAAAATAACTTTAATTCACTATTCAGATACGCAAATTCTACGGCGCCACTCTGCCTGTCTGTTATAGTTACTCACTCTATATTTCGTTCGTCCTCTGTTGTTCCCTCGCCCTTGCTTCTTGATGTCTAATATGGTTCGTTGCGCATTGCCACGGATTGCCGTGCCTGCTTTGGCTCTCTTCGATCCTCTGTTCGATATGGTATCTGTCTCGTCCTATTTACTCGTCATCTTTGCTTTTTTCAGTCTTTATCTCTTTAATAGGATGACTGGCGCGTCTGGCCCGTCAGTCATGTCGGGACGCCAGCGTCTTTCGGCATGGGAAGAGAGAGGACGGCGGCTATGACTTCTTGGGCCCTAGATCTTTCGCTCCTTCGTCTAGGATTTTTTCTGT